TTCTCAATACTTTGTTATATACCCTTTGTTGGCAATGACACAGGTCAAACGTTTTCTGTAAGTCTTCACAAGGTTTTCACACACTGTTGCTGGTATTTTGGCCCATTCCTCCATGCAGATCTCCTCTAGAGCAGTGATGTTTTGGGGCTGTCGCTGGGCAACACGGACTTTCAACTCCCTCCAAAGATTTTCTATGGGGTTGAGATCTGGAGACTGGCTAGGCCACTCCAGGACCTTGAAATGATTCTTACGAAGCCACTCCTTCGTTGCCCGGGCGGTGTGTTTGGGATCATTGTCATGCTGAAAGACCCAGCCACGTTTCATCTTCAATGCCCTTGCTGATGGAAGGAGGTTTTCACTCAAAATCTCACGATACATGGCCCCATTCATTCTTTCCTTTACACGGATCAGTCGTCCTGGTCCCGTTGCAGAAAAACAGCCCCAAAGCATGATGTTTCCACCTCCATGCTTCACAGTAGGTATGGTGTTCTTTGGATGCAACTCAGCATTCTTTGTCCTCCAAACACGACGAGTTGAGTTTTTACCAAAAAGTTATATTTTGGTTTCATCTGACCATATGACATTCTCCCAATCCTCTTCTGGATCATCCAAATGCACTCTAGCAAACTTCAGACGGGCCTGGACATGTACTGGCTTAAGCAGGGCCACACGTCTGGCACTGGAGGATTTGAGTCCCTGGCGGCGTAGTGTGTTACTGATGGTAGGCTTTGTTACTTTGGTCCCAGCTCTCTGCAGGTCATTCACTAGGTCCCCCCGTGTGGTTCTGGGATTTTTGCTCACCGTTCTTGTGATCATTTTGACCCCACGGGGTGAGATCTTGCGTGGAGCCCCAGATCGAGGGAGATTATCAGTGGTCTTGTATGTCTTCCATTTCCTAATAATTGCTCCCACAGTTGATTTCTTCAAACCAAGCAGCTTAACTATTGCAGATTCAGTCTTCCCAGCCTGGTGCAGGTCTACAATTTTGTTTCTGGTGTCCTTTGACAGCTCTTTGGTCTTGGCCATAGTGGAGTTTGGAGTGTGACTGTTTGAGGTTGTGGACAGGTGTCTTTTATACTGATAACAAGTTCAAACAGGTGCCATTAATACAGGTAACGAGTGGAGGACAGAGGAGCCTCTTAAAGAAGAAGTTACAGGTCTGTGAGAGCCAGAAATCTTGCTTGTTTGTAGGTGACCAAATACTTATTTTCCACCATAATTTGCAAATAAATTCATTAAAAATCCTACAATGTGATTTTCTTTATTTTTTTTTCTCAATTTGTCTGTCATAGTTGACGTGTACCTATGATGAAAATTACAGGCCTCTCTCATCTTTTTAAGTGAGAGAACTTGCACAATTGGTGGCTGACTAAATACTTTTTTTCCCCCACTGTATGTGTATATATATATATATATATATATATATATATATATATATATATATATATATATATATATATATATATATATATTAGAATCTTTATGTAAAGTATTTGATATTCACCTACTTATCTTTTAAGTTTTAGGCTACTTTTTTAATTCATTTCTAATTCTAACTTCATATCATAGACATAGTATGCCGCACTTGTAAATAGTGTCATGAATTAAATTAAACTTGAATTACTTATTTCCTTGAAAATGTCACCTATTTCGTTCATTTCTAAATGTAACTGGGTGGTACTGTATCATCTCAAGTCTATTGAAACATCATGAATGCAGGATGTTATTATGGACCAAAATAAACTCTAAGCACCGCAGTGCTGCTTATTAGAATGTAACTCGGTCTAAATGTCACAACTGACCCCTTCAGTCAAAGCTGCCATATTTCCATTCCAGAGCTGAAATCTCTTAAAGCCACGTAACAAATCCTGTTCACCACAGCACAAAGGTCTCTGTAGGAATGGTCTCTCTCTTTTTCTCTCCTTCAGCCTTTCATTTCTAAACCATTTCATTTGGGGTGGGGGGGATAGAGAGAGATAAACCTAGAACGATAGAAACATGGGCTCACACAGACACACGCAGTGAGGAATCATCCAGACGTCACAGTGGTGCCATCTCATATAGAGTCCACCGGGGAGTAAAGTAGTTCCATATTGGCGGATGGTTACGGTGTAGCCGAGACTGCGCCATTAGGCTAATCCCTGTTGATGTGATTTTTCTGCACACCCCCATCTCGGCTAAGACCCTGTGTTTGTGTGTGTGTGTGTGTGTCCATGTGCATCTTAAGACCCCATGTGCCTCCGCATCGCAACGCTCAAAGGCCACATTTAGGATGGGTTTTACATGTGAAAAGTGATTTTCAGCTCCACTATAAAAATGCATAATAGGATGGACTCCTCATCTTAAAGGAGAATGTAGCTTTTTTTACAACCAAATCTACATTTGTTTATGTAAACGGCATGTTATAGAAGGGTCCAGACACTTTTTTTTTTGCAATTTCACTTGTTTTTGAGAAATCTAACCCCAACCAGCGACTAATTTCCTCATCCTCGTTATGGCAGTATGGGGGCTCTGAAAAACAACATGAACAAAAGCTCCAAAAACACCCAAATACTTCCTTTTAGAAACTGAAACGCTGTCAGTATAGTGATGTAGGTCTTTACATGTTGTACACATGAACTTTATCTGCAATGTTATATTCCATTTTGTTGCACCTCCCGAGTGGCGCAGTGGTCTAAGGCACTGCATCGCAGAGCTAGCTGTGCCACTAGAGATCCTGGTTCGAATCCAGGCTCTGCTGTAGCCGGCCGCAACCGGGAGACCAATGGGGCGGCGCACAATTGGCCCAGCGTCTTCCAGGGTAGGGGAGGGAATGGCCGGCAGGGAGGTAGCTCAGTTGGTAGAGCATGGTGTTTGCAACGCCAGGGTTGTGGGTTCGATTCCCATGGGGGGCCAGTATGAAAATAAAAAAGAATAATGTATGCACTAACTGTAAGTCGCTCTGGATAAGAGCGTCTGCTAAATGATGTAGATGTAGATGTATCCGTTCTACAGGTAACTGCCAAAATAAAGGAAACACTTGAGTAACTGAGGCATACAAAGTATATTGAAAGCAGGTGCTTCCACACAGGAAGTTCCAGACACTTGTAGAATCTATGCCAAGGTGCTTTGAAGCTGTTCTGGCAGCACGTGGTGGCCCAACGCCCTATTAAGACACTTTATTAAGACACCCAAACCCACAATCACTTCCTCCTGTAACTCAGACAAAACCTCCTGCACTCTGACCTGTGAAGGTGACACCACTGATGCTGAACCTGTCACCTACAGTTGGAAAGTGGGAGAGGGGGCGTGGGAGGTCTCAGGACAACAGAAGATTGTCTCTAGGAATGACAGCACTAAAATCATCTACACGTGTCAGCTCAAGAACCCTGTGAGCGAGGCCAGTGAAGACTTTGATAAAGACCTTTTTGGGACAGGTGGCTGGTTGACCAAGGCCAGGTTATTTGGTATTTCTCTCTTTGTTCTGGCTGTTGCCGTTGTTCTATTGTTCATTTTTGGTCATAAAGCTAAAACAGGAGTTTGGTTCTATGAGAAAGAAACAATGCCATGGAATGGAGAATTTTGGAAAAAACAGAGAGAAGTGGGAACTACCACTGACGCATCAACTGGAGTTTCTGCATCCACAGAGGAAGATCTGGCGAGGAAAACTGATCATAAAGATGATTCAGGAATGAATTCAGTATTGTAGGACGCTGTGGATCTGTTGGCCAGAGTATCACTGTGGATCAAGAGAAACGAATCTAGACAACGAGCACTGGATGAAAAAGGGAATGCTCTACCACTATTGTACCCATTAAAACAATGTTACATCCCGATCTGAGAAATAGAGGTCAATTTGAGTTACAGATGTAGGATCTTAATTTGAGCTAGTTTGTTACTGCAGGAAAATAGTCCTGCAGCAACAGGAAATGTAAATTATGTGGATTATAATACATTTTAATTTATAATACATTTTGTAGGGGTTGCTACATTTTTCAGACAGGAAAATCAAGTCAGAAATTTCAAAGTGGAAATTACAAACTTCGGAAGCCTCTTTAAGCCCTGAGTACACTACAGGTTGTACATGCATTGCAGGAAAGTTCTCAGGATGATCAGATTAAGATCCTACGTCTGCAAGCTTTCAAAACAATTTGCAAACTCAATTACAAGTTGCAAAGTAAATTGCTAAGCCTTACAAATTCTCAGGATCATAGACAAACCTATGACACCAATGACTACTACATTGAGTATGTTTACATGCACACTAATTATTCAATATTAAGCTAATTAGGGTAATACTCTGAGTTTGGCAATAGTCAGCAGGCTTAACAGAGAATGATTAAGCTGGATAGGGTAACATGGCTCAAGTCTCACAAATACCTGTAGCAGCAAGCTAAAAGGAATGGAAAAAGCTGGATAGGGGAAATGGCTAAGTCACACAAAATGGAATATAACGTTGCAGATAAAGTTTGAAATGACATTTTCATGTGTACAACTTCTAAAGACCTGTATCACTATACTGAGAGCGTTTCAGTTTCTAAAAGGACGTATTTGTGTGGTTTTGGAGCATTTGTTCATGTTTTTTCAGAACCCCCGTACTACACAATGAGGATGAGGAAATTAAATCGCTGGTTGTGGTAAATTTCTCAAAAACAAGTGAAATCACAAAAAACGTGTCTGGACCTTTCTATAAGATGCCTTTTACAAACATTTAGATTTGGTTGTAAAAAAGCAAACTTATCCTTTGAGATTTTGGCAATGAAGCCTGTTATCTACTGTACTTCCTCAGTCAGCTTCATTGCCAAAATGTCAAAGTATTCCTTTAAGTCTGGTCCCTCTCAGTGTTTCGTCCTTCCAAGACAGTTTATTCTTGCCACTGCCGTCTCTGCTTGCTCTTTCTTTGGGGATTTAGGCCTATGTTACTGTGGAGCACCTTTGATAAATCCTTGTATTGCATACTGCATGTGGTGTAGCCTACAAGTACAATTTCATTCTCATCTTCCTCTTCTTCTTTTCCAGCTTCCACCAGAGGAGCCCAGCCCCCACCAGAGGGAGGTTCAGGTCCAGACCCCCAGACTCCTGTCCTGAGGATCAACCAGCTGGATGCCTTTGAGCTGGACTCTGCTCTGGACCAGCTGGTGTGGAACCAGTTCTCCCAGTGTTTCCAACACTTCCGCCCAGGCCTGCTCACCCCCGTGGAGCCTGAACTCAAGGCCCTGCTTCAGCTCCTGCTCTGGAGGTTCACAGTCTACCCCAACAGTGCTACGGTGGGCCAGTCTATGATGAACCTCCGCTACCACAACACTCTGTCACTATCCCAGCGCTACAGGGCCCTGAGCAGGAGACAGAGGCTGGGCCTGGCCCTGCTGACCATCGGCCCCCGCTGGCTGACGGAGCGATCCCACAGCCTGCTCCTCTCCCTGGGGTTGGGGATGGGCGGCAGTCCCCCGGCCGATGGAGGTCTGCGTCTGGGACTGCGTCGAGCTCTCTCTCTGATCACCGGCTTTACCCAGGTAGGGTCATAAATTACAGTTCTGAGTTTTGATTGGCTAGCTCAGCGTTTTCCAAACTCGGTCCTCGGGACCCCAAGGGGTGCACGTTTTGGTTTTTGCCCTAACACTACACAGCTGATTCAAATTAGTTGATTATTTGAATCAGCTGTGTAGTGCTAGGGCAAAAACCAAAACGTGCACCGCTTGGAGTCCTGACCACCAAGTTTAGGAAACCCTGGGCTAGCTGTTCCTCATCCCGCTGCTATCTCCCCAGGTAGCCAATCTGATCAACTTCCTGGTGTTCCTGAGGAAGGGGCGCCACCCGTCTCTGACAGAGAGGATCCTGGGTATCCGTGCGGTGTTCAGTAAGCCCCAGGCGGTCCGAGATGTAGCCTTCCAGTACATGAATAGAGAGCTGCTGTGGCACGGCTTCGCTGAGTTCCTCATCTTCCTTCTGCCTCTAGTCAACGTGAGGAAGATCAAGACAACCATGTATTCACTGCTCTCCCCCCTGGGAGTGGGTGAGGGTGGGGAGGAGGGGGTGAGAGAGGGCTCAGCGGTATGGAAGGAGTGTGGTCTGTGTGGGGAGTGGCCTACCATGCCTCACATGGTAGGTTGTGGTCATGTGTTCTGTTACTACTGCATCAAGAGTCACTCCATCGCCGACGCCTACTTGACATGTCCTAAGTGTGGCGTGGAGGTCGGGGAGGCAGAGCCTGTCAAACTGCAGATCGAGATGACGGACATCCACGCTAGATGATGACGTCACATCCGGTCACGGGAACACACACACACAACACGTGTTAACTTGTAAAGTGAGCTTTTGGTGACACTCAAGGTCACAGTGAATGGACTTCAATACACAGTGTCTATAGAAAAATGGACATTTCCACATGCACACACACAAACACAGACAGACATTCAGAAATACACACACACAGGTTTCAGAGGGACCCTTTAACTGAGCAAGGTTTCTTTACTTATGATACTCTGGGTGAATGTGGAAGATGCACAGGAAAGACAAGATGATGATGACTGATTCAGTCTGTTGTATGTCCATGTATAATGTATGTGAGCACACACACACTGACCACCCTGCTCCTGTTGCCCCTCCGTTCCTACTGTTAGACTTTGGACAGGCCTGTTTGTTCACACAGCTCTGAGTGACTGTGGAGAAACACAGAGCATATATTTGATGAAGGAACGTGTTGATTCTGCCCCAAATTGGCCTTGCGCTGCTCTGTTCTGTTCAAATGGGAATATTTGTTCTGATGAAAAATGCAAAAACTTGACTGACGGGACTAATAAATAATGGATGAATTTCTGTTGCTCATCACCGCTAACGAAATTTGCATCTGTTTGTATTTGTGCCTAAATTATGTTCATTAAAATGTAATCAATTTAATGAATGCCCAAATAATGCCCCCATATAATTGGTGTTTCTTGTTTTAGTGAAGAGGGAAATTAAGCAAAGTTATAACATATACACTTCTCTCCCTCTGCTCTCTCTCCATATCTCCTTCTCTCTCCATCTATCCTTCTCTCCCTCTACTCTCTCCATCTCTCCTCTCCCTCTGCTCTCTCCATCTCTCCTTCTCTCCCCATGCTCTCTCCATCTCTCCTCTGTCCTTCTCTCCCTCTGCTCTCTCTATCTATCCTTCTCTCCCTCTACTCTCTCCATCTCTCCTCTCCCTCTGCATCTCTCCTTCTCTCCCCATGCTCTCTCCATCTCTCCTCTGTCCTTCTCTCCCTCTGCTCTCTCCATCTCTCCTTCTCTCACTCTGCTCTCACTCCATCTCTCCTTCTCTTCCCATCTCTCCATCTCTCATTCTGCTCTCTCTCCATCTCTCCTGCTCTCTCTCCATCTCTCCTTATCCCCTTTCACACTGCCAAAACATGCAAAAGATCAAGGGGCAGCCAGAGGCTCAGATTGGAGACACACACTTATACACTCTCGGTCTCTCTGTCTCACACACACACTCAGTAATCTCGGCGGGCCTCTCCCTATAAGTCAGGCTGTGAACTGTAGTGAACCTCTGGCAGCCTCTTGGTTCCTTGCAGGCGAATCACTGCCTAATCCCTGTAATGACTGAAAAGATGCTTATTTATGCTGGAGTTAACCTCCTCCAATGAGCCCAGCCCCGGGCCAAATGTAGCCCTGCCCAGTGAGGCCTTCTCTGGGCTGGCGGAGAGCACATACCCCCCTCCTCTGGATGATCACTGGAGCTTAATTGCTGATTGCGGAGGAGATCAGGACTTTAGGTGAGATGGGGCCTTGTGGAGAGCTGGGTTTGGTCAGGCTGATTCTCTCTCACACACAGACACATACACACAGACACACACTGACTGCTTAGTTTCTTTTTAGGCCTGTTTGGTTTGGGTCTAGCTCACACAAACTTGCTAGTACACACAAACACACTCATCCTGACTGGTTTACTTCTGAAGGGGTTGATGAAATTTGTTTGACACAGAAAATATTCTGTGTTTCTTGGCTTGAGGGCGTTTGCTCATGAGATCAATAGACAGTATTTACTGATGATGTTCATGTTAATTATTAAAATGCCTAACCACCATGCTTGTTATGCTGTCTTTAATTCTGTATGTTGGGCCGTTTATGCGCATGTGTCTGTTCATGCGTCAAATAGGCCTACCTGTCCTTGGATTATTTGTATTAATTAAAATATAGTTTACAAAAATATTAATGCAACATGCAAAGTGTTGGTCCCATGTTTCATGAGCTGAAATAAAAGATCCCAGAAATTGTGCACACATTTGTTTACATTCCTGTTGGTGAGCATTTTTCCTTTGCCAAGATAATCCATCCACCTGACAGGTGTGGCATATCAAGAAGCTGATTAAACAGCATAATCATTACACAGGTGCACCTTGTGCTGGGGACATTAAAAGGCCATGCTAAAATGTGCAGTTTTGTCACACAACACAATGCCACAGATGTCTCAAGTTTTGAGGGAGTGTAATTGGCAATTCTAACTGCAGGAATGTCCACCAGAGTTGTTGCCAGATAATTGAATGTACATTTTTTTACCATAAGCCGCATCCAACATAGTTTTAGAGAATTTGGCAGTATGTCCAACCGGCCTCACAACTGCAGACCATGTGTATGGTGTCATGTGGGCCAGCGGTTTGCTGATGTCAAAGTTGTGAACAAAGTGCTCCATGGTGGTGGTGGGGTTATGGTATGGGCAGGCATAAGCTACGACAACAAACACAATTGCATTTTATCTTGACAATTTGAATGCACAGAGATAACATGACGAGATCCTGAGGCCCATTGTCGTGCCATTCATCCGTGTCCATTACCTCATGTTTCAGCATGATAATGCACAGCCCCATGTCACAAGAATCTGTACACAATTCCTGGAAGCTGAAAATTTCCCAGTTCTTTCATGGCCTGAATCTAGGGTTGAATGGTGGGAACCCGGTTACCGAGATTTACCGGGATTTACCGCCCAAAACCACTCCCTTTTCCAGGGATAAATATCTGCGAGAAACAGGTAAATTATAATAAATTATTTATATGAACAGCATGACGTGAAATGGAACTGTTAAATGATATGCGATGTCTAAATCTGGCTTCTCTACGGCCTCTGCATGATGAATCAACGCTCAGGGTGGGGACAAACAGCCCATCTCAGTATGGAGCGCAGTTCACAATGCATTATTATTATGTAGACCTACATATCATGTCATCATGGTCACTTATTTTCTTGTGACAGGTAGGCCTACATTTGCTGCAGCAAATCTGGCTTTCAGGGTCACCTGGGTTTTTTAATTGTAACGATTATTGTATTTTTATTGCAGCTGCAGAGTTTTAAAACAGCCTATCATTCGAATATTGTTGCTTTAAATCAGTTCAGGCACGATCACTCTCTCGCAGCATTTCTCTTTCTCTCCATCAACTCCATTCAAATTCCATCCAAAATAGATAATCCTGTTCAAGATAGCCCTATACAGTGCCTTGGGAAAGTATTCAGACCCCTTGACTTTTTCCACATTGTTACGTTAAGGCCTTATTCTAAAATTGATTAAATAAATAAAAATCCTCAGCAATCTACACACAATACCCGATAATGGCAAAGCAAAAATGTATGCACATTTCTTTAAAATAAAAAACAGAAATACCTTATTTACATAAGTATTCAGACCCTTTGCTATGAGACTCAAAATTGAGCTCAGGTGCATCCTGTTTCCATTGATCATCCATGAGATGTTTCTACAACTTGATTGGAGTCCACCTGTGGTAAATTCAATTGATTGAACATGATTTGGAAAGGCACACACATCTATATAAGGTCCCACAGTTGACAGTGCATGTCAGAGCAAAAACCAAGCCATGAGATCAAAGGAATTGTCTGTAGAGCTCCGAGACAGGATTGTGTTGAGGCACAGATCTGGGGAAGGGTACCAAAAAATGTCTGCAGCATTGAAGGTCCCCAAGAACACAGTGGCCTCCATCATTCTTAAATGGAAGAAGTTTGGAACCACCAAGACTCTTCCTAGAGCTGGCCGCCTGGCCAAACTAAGCAATCGGGGGAGAAGGGCCTTGGTCAGGGAGGTGACCAAGAACCCGATGGTCACTCTGACAGAGCTCTAGAGTTCCTCTGTGGGGATGGGAGAACCTTACAGAAGGACAACCATCTCTGCAGCACTCCACCAATCAGGCCTTTATGGTAGAGTGGCCAGACAGAAGCCACTCCTCAGTAAAAGGCACATGACAGCCCGCTTGGAGTTTGCCAAAAGGCACCTAAAGACTCTCAGACCATGAGAAACAAGATTCTCTGGTCTGATGAAACCAAGATTGAACTCTTTGACCTGAATGCCAAATGTCACTTCTGGAGGAAACCTGGCACCATCCCTACAGTGAAGCATGGTGGTGGCAGCATCATGCTGTGGGGATGTTTTTCAGCAGTAGGGACTGGGAGACTAGTCAGGATTGAGGCAAAGATGAATGGAGCAAAGTACAGAGAGATCCTTGATGAAAACCTGCTCCTGAGTGTTCAGGACCTCCAACTGGGGCGAAGGTTCACCTTCCAACAGGACAACGACCCTAAGCACACAGCCAATGCAGGAGTGGCTTCGGGACAAGTCTCTGAATGTCCTTGAGTGGTCCAGCCAGAGCCCGGACTTGAACCCGATCGAACATCTCTGGAGAGACCTGAAAATAGCTGTGCAGCAACGCTCTCCATCCAACCTGACAGAGCTTTAGAGGATCTGCAGCGAAGAATTGGAGAAACTCCCCAAATACAGGTGTGCAAAGCTTGTAGTGTCATACCCAAGAAGACTCAAGGCTGTAGTCGCTGCCAAAGGTGGTTCAACAAAGTACTGAGTAAAGGGTCTGAATATGTATGTAAATGTAATATTTCATTTTTCATTTTTAATAAATTAGCAACATTATCTAAAATCCTGTTTTTGCTTTGTCATTATATGGTACTGTGTGTTGATTGATGAGGGGAAAAAAACATTTTAATCAATTTTAGAATAAGGCTGTAATCTAACAAAATGTGGAAAAAGTCAAGGGGTCTGAATACTTTCCGAAGGTTAGATTTCCTAGCCTACCTCTTTCAGGTAATACATTTGATGCAGTATTAGCCTCATATTTAGCTAATTAATGATGGGTTATGTATAATAAGCTTCTAACTTATAGCCTCTGTCTCTTGTGCAATATACAAGCACCTGTGCTCCGCTGGCCTCTCTCCTTAAACGCTCCTTAGCTCTTGGAGTCCCATGCAGGAAAAG